AGATTGAGAATTGCTGCTGCTTATGTGCTTAGAACCTCTGAAGCCAGTCCTGATACTGATGGCCAGCTCAAAACAGTAAMAGTTTCGGAGTCATCAAGTGCTGAAGCTACATCAGAAACTAACATAACACAGGAGAACAATATCTTTGTTTTTGGGAATTACTATGAATATATTTCTGTAGGCCTAGCTGTTTAGTTCCTACTGAACCCAGCCTCAGATTCTTTCACAATGTTTTGGTAAGTTTAAGGATTTGATCAAGTAGGTTTTGATCCACAGGAAAGCAAACAGGTTTGGTTTTTTTTTTTCCTTTCCTTTCTTTCATAAATCCTAAACCAGTTAAACTGCATTCCTGATAGCCTGACGTCCTTCATGAAGAAATAAGTGTTACACACAGTATGTGTGCAATTTCTGGATAGAAAACAATCTGTGGTTCTACTGGCAGGGTTAGCTTACGAATCGTCAGGGAAGGTGAGGTGGTTTGTGCTCATCCTCATGTTGAGACACTCTCTGCTAAGATGTGGTTTAGACTATGMAAAATAAGTTAAAGACCAAGTTTCTCACTTTCTCATCATGTTTTTAATGTGACAACCACAGAATCTACTCACGCAAATAATGAATATTTTACTTCAATCACAGTTGCTGATGGTTTCTTGTATTCATTAGTGTCTGGCTTTGTGCTTTGTTTCCTGACATCTTTCCACTCTTSCCCATGCTTCTTTTATGTAGTAAGTGTTTTGATCCACTACAGTAACTCCTTACAGTGGACTTGCACATTGTTCTCAGAGGTGCTGGAAGAGGGGAGAGAAAGAGATGGTGAATTGGCTACCAGGAAAGTTTTGTAATTTATTTACARGGCAGTAATTAAAAAATAAAGCAMAACAAACTTTAAACAGTAGAATACCTGCACCTTTAAACAAAATATTTTTTCTAACCCAGAATCTGATTTGGAATGACACCTTATGTTCACATATTCTTTAGAGAGTTTACAGTCTGACGCATGCATTTCAGATACTTGAATAGCCTTGCTTTTTTCTGCCTACTAGTATTGTGGGGCTATTTAAGTAGCTTAAATTTTAATCCACAGGTATTTGGAAGACAGATGAATCAGTGGTCAAAAAGCACAGCTCATTAATTTTACATAATAGCAAAAGAATAAATAGGTCAGTATTCTGTACATTATTTTGCTAATAGGATAGTTTAATTGCTGTGTAGTTAATGTTTACAGGGTGCTTTGAAGATGTAATTTGTTGTACATAATTTGTTGTACAGGACTAACGTGTTCACTCATTTCTACRTCTAGCTATACTCAAAAAGAAATACTTAAACCTCACATTAAGTTCTTTTGTGTTTCTGGTGCACGGTGAAAAAAACCAGGCTGGGAGTCAGCTGTTCAACTGTCTGTGTGTATCTCCAGTTATCTGGCTAGACCACTACTACAAACAGGAGAGAAATAGCCACATTTGAGGAACAATTGTTTTGTACTAAAGTAGGTATCTGGGTATAGATCATAGGAATCACTTGTGTCTCTTTTGTCCTTGATTTTGTGGAAAATGTATTGCTGCTTCTTCAGGTCCTGAGAAAGTTCTCTCTCTCCTGCAAAAYTGGACTTGCAGAAAGCTCTGGTACTCCTGAGCTATTGAAATTTTTTTGTTGGTCGTATTGACAATATTTTAGATTTTCTCTGACAAACTTTAAAGCATTTTCACGAATCAGAAATTCACTCACAGTGGGAAATAAATGCATCAGCTCACATGGTAATCATCTGCCAACTCTGTTTTCCCATTTTTCTGCACTGTTTTACTTAATTGACTGAATGACTGATCATCATTGTTACTCCTTCCACCCTCCTTGTAGTAGAGTGTCTCATGCATTCAGAGAATGTTGTGGGAAACTGATATAAAGACTTTTATTGTATGAAGTTGGGAAAATTAGCATCTCTTGCTAGACAACTTACTGCTGAGAGGTTAACAAGATTGAAAAACTTGCAGCATCTGGTAAGAGGAAAAAATGAACAGGGGATTCATCACTGAAATCTGCTTTCAAAAGAACATTACTTACACTTTTAGGACTCTTTAGGATTGAACTACGTCCACATCAATAAAACCAAAGTAATGATTGACTTCTGGCTACTTTTATAAAGTTATGTTGTTTTGCAAAACACATGAGTAAAGGCAAATGTGACAAAAGAGGATACATATTGAAATGGCATTGTTTGGGGTTATGGCTCTGCAGATACACCCATGATGTATGAGGATACTGCCCATGTATGTATGAGGATACTGCCTCATACCAATGAGAAGCTACAGTCCCTTGCCTCACCCAGCATCTGCAGGTCTGCACTTGATTAGGCACAGGACCGACCTCCATGGGGTTTAAGCATGGCTATAGCACTGAGGATGCTGAGGTGCAGCACTAAGGGCCTTAGGGATTCAGAACTCAAAATGCACATGTTCATACAGACTCCCCAGCCACAGACAGCTCTGTGTGATCAGCTGCTGTGCCTCAGTATGCTGCTGCTGCTGCTGTCTGCAAAACAGAGTGATGTGAGTTCCTGGTCCCACCCACCTAAAAATCAATTGAAACTTTTCTTCCCTATGTTGAAAGATCTGCATGGAGAAAYCTTTCCAGGCCAGGAGTGGGTGGGGCCCAGGGCTTTAGCTGGGTGCATTGTACACGGCAGGTAGGCAGAAATTCTTTTACAATTTGCTGTTCTCCCTTGCTACACAAGCATAAAAGAAACACAGATTAAGCTACTGCTTTGATCTTGCTCGTTCTTTTTTTCCTGTTTTGAATAGGTTACATATGACTTTATTTCTTTTATTCCTCCCTCTTATTTATTAGCAATTCATGGCTTCTGTACCCATGCAAACCTATTAAATCAAGAAAATCTAGAGCAATGCTTTCCAAATAACCACGTTAATCCCTCTGTCTGTGACACATTTACTATTTTTGTCATCATACATGGTGTCAAATTGCATCTCAGTAACCATTTCATCCAGCTGAACTACAATTGCAATGTACTATTTAAGACTGTATGTAAAACTACGTAGAAATGCCTATATATTCTTGTGGCTGTGGTCAAGAATGTGGCATGCTATTGCTCTAGGTGCCAAATTGTTTTTTAAAAAAAGTTATTAAAAGCAGTTCAAGAAAAGAAAGAAAGAAAGAAAGAAAGAAAGAAAAAGAAAGAAAGAAAGAAAGAAAGAAAGAAGGAAAGAAAGAAGGAAAGAAAGAAGGAAAGAAAGAAGGAAAGAAAGAAGGAAAGAAAGAAAGAAAGAAAGAAAGAAGAAGGAAAGAGAAAGAAAGTAAGAAAGAAAGAAAAGAAAGAAAAGAAAGAAGTGAGAGAAAGAAAAAGAGAAAGAAAGAAAAAGAAAGTCAAAGAAAGAAAGACAAAGAAAGATGAGCTGAATGCCCATATGAGATTGTTTGAAATGTTTGAGGAAAATATATTCTCAATGGGATTATTGATTCTGTGATCATTTTTATTACAATTAGTTTTTGAAACATGATATTTACCATAGATTTGAACCTGGGAWGAACAGGATGAAAACACTTGTACTGAGTGACAGTCTTCAGAATACAGAAGATCATAAATTCCTAGCTGTCCAAGAGCAGGAAACATACTGGAGATTTCCTGCTATCTTAAGCAGCATTCTTGTTTTCGCTGCACATCTCCTAGCAGTTGTATCAGGAGATTGATGTGGGTAAACAGGGAGCTTTGTGGAGCTCCAGTGCAAAAAAGGTGGTATAGAGGAGATGGAAGCAGGGACAGACTACAATGGAATAATTTAGAAACTACATAATGGAATMATTTAGGAATTGCCTGAGTTTGTAGGAGTAGCCTTGGGAGATCAAAAGCCTAAATGCAGTTGAGACTTACATGGGAGGCACAACAAGAAGAGTTTCCAATGGTTTGTTAGTATGAAAAGGCTGAGCATGGAATATATGGAACCACTGCTGAATGGAGCAGGTGATATAGTGACAGCAAATATGGATAAAATAGAGGCATTCTAAGGTTTRTTTGCCATTCTCTGCCACCAAACTAAAGGGTCTAAAGACAGCTACCAGCAGATGAGTGTGTATCCAGGGATTRTGAGAAATTTTGACCAGAAAACACCATGGAGGCAGACAGACCATATCCAAGGTGCCAGAAAAAACAGATGTCTCTCCATCACATCATAAGGATTATGGAGATCATGGAAGGTTCCTAAGAGCTGGAAATAGTTAAATGTTGCATCCCTTTCTTCAGAAAGAACAAAGACATTTTGGGGAACTATAAACTGATGAGCATTGCTTCGGTCCCTGTGGAACTGAAAGGAGTGGGTCTTCTTGAAGCACATTTCTGGGCATATGAAGAAGGTGATTGGAAACAATCAGCAAGGATCTASCAAAGGTAAATCATATCTGACTCTCTGGCTGTATTTATGATTCTATGATGGGATTTGTGGATAAGGGGAGAGAAATTTATATGATTTACCTCAAATTTAGCAAGGCTTTTGCTRTTGTCTCCAACAACATTCTTTTATCCTGGTTGGGATGGATATTTTGGTCTGTATGGCTAAAAATTCTTTGATTTGGCTCAGAGGAGAATGGTTAAATGAGTTKTTCTCTACCCAGAGAACATTTTCCTTTTTACCTTCTAGAGTGCCACAGGGATCTRGAGACTGAAACAGTCCTGTTTGACATCTTTACCAGTTACTTCAAGGAGATGATAAAATCAACTTTCCTCAGGTTTGCAGRTGACACCAAATTGGAGGGAGCAGTGACYGTGCTGTGGGTGGGCAGTGCTACAATACAGAASAACCTARGCAGGCTGGAGGAATGGGCCAAGAGGAACCTTATGAAATTCAGCAAGGACAAATGCAAAGTTCCTGTCACCTGGGAATGATGAGCCCTTGCATCAATATGTGCTGGGACTGACTGGCTTTACTGTGAAGGCTCTGGAGAGTCCTGGCAGACAACASAMAGCCTGCATGTCAAGAGTGTGCCCYGGCAGCAARGAAAGTAACWRCATCCTGACTGTGCTAGAGGGAGCACAGCCAGGAGCTTGTGGGAAGAGGTCATGCTCCTGCTCAGCACCTGTTAGACCACATCTAGGCACTGTGTCCTCTTGAGCCCCTCCAGGAAAGGCAATGAAAAATTGGAGCCAAGTTTAGCTGAGGCTCCCCAGGATGCTTGGAGTCAGAGCCTTGTGAGAAGGAGCTAAAGAAATGGGATTTATCCTCTTCACCTGGAGAAGAAGGGGCTTCAGGTGAACCTGATAGCAGCCTGCCAGGACTTGTGAGGGTGTCTGCAAGAAGACAAAGTCAGGCTCTTCACAATGGTAAGTTAAGTGGCAAGAGGACAAGAAACAGCAGGCATAAATTGAAACAAGAAACATTCAGCCTGGGAATAATGGAAAGAAAAACGTGAAAAAATTATACTGGGATTGGTTAAAATGGTTTAGATGTCACGCATTAACAGACTGTAAATCGTGAATWGTCAGACACCATTTCCTGTGTTCCTGGCTCCATCCACCTAAGGTACAAAGCTAAGATACTTTACCCACCACAGTGAATTTCCATTGGCTAGCAGTGAAACCTTTGATGTAGTCCAAATCCTTAATTATAGCAAGCGTATTTTTTTCTGCAAATCATGGCTATAATATTTCAGTTAGTGAAGGCTCAAGCCTGTGWCCACATGGCATGGGGCAGGCACATACCTGCCAGGTTTGCTCTGTGGGATAAGACATTTTTATTTGGCCTGGCCTACGAGTTGAGCTTCTTGGCAGAATTTATTAACTGGGACTGGTGCTGCAGGAATGGGCTGTACAAGCACCTGCTCATAGTTATGTTTGGCTGGCTTGAGCTTTGGAAATGTGCTGTGCACCTCTGCTGTCCCTCTTCTCTAGTTAGCAAAGGAACTGCCATCCCAAGGCTTGTTTTAGCTGGCATAGCTCTGCCCACTGTTCTAATAATATACAGTGGGTGAAAGGGTTGGTTTTGTTTATTTTTTCCTGTTTAAGGAAGGATGAAGCTGGTGTGGTAGGAGAGGATGAGGATGGAAGGACTGGGCAGTCCCAGCCTTTCCCTTGTGGAAATCCAGCACAAGTTCCTCACTCATTTCCTCAGCTGTGCAGCCAGCAGCTGCGGGAGTTATTCCTTCCTGTACATGTAGCATGGTCCAGGATTACTCATAACTCATGGTCACCTAAAAAACCCCTGAAGTTTCAGTTTAGACATGTATTTCCTGATTTTGAATGTGTGGGAGAGCAGCCAGTCTAATCTGAGGTAGAGGTTGATCCTGCAGCAAAGTATTGCTCCACTTTCCCTTCTCCCAGCTCTGAGTTTCCTCCTAAATAACAGGAAAATGACCTGTCTGTGATGGTTGTAGTATTAAGGACACCTCTAAATTTTGTCAGCCAGTGGTCTCAGTATGGCCGGAGGGTTTCAGAATATGGGCCTCCAGTCTGGTAAGCATGTTTTGGTGGCTTTTGGGTCAGAAGTGAAAATAAAGTGTGGAGAAGTGATTATGCCTACCCACAGGGATATTACTATGCTACTTCTGCATGACTGGTAGGAACTGACCTGCTGTGAATGAGGCCACTAGCCTTGGGCTTGAACTTCTAAAGGGCATTATTTTTCCTCAAGAAATGTATTCTTGAATTAGTCATGAATTCTTTAACATTACCCATTACTGCTTCTAAAACCAAAGTGCTTATCTTAATGAGTTTACTATACTAGATCCTAAAAAGTGTCATTCTACCTAATTTTGAGGAATATCAATTCCCAGAGAGAGAACAATTCAGGCTGAGTTATGTCATGCAAAGTGAACCTGTTTGCCCAAATACTCTCATAGCATAGAAGGGGAGCAATGAAAAGAAATGTGGTCCCACCCCTTTATTAACAGGTCTGAATAGTTTCCTGGAGGGTGTGTAGCAACACAGATAATTTACTGCTGGTAGCAACAGGAGGTTTTCTGGAGGAACAAGTGTCAGAGAAACTGGATTACAGGAATGTTTCTGAGTCACAGTCTCCTGGGATGCTCCTGTGTTGGGCCGAGGTGAACTCTGAGTCAAATAACAACCAGGTAAATGGTTTAGTTTAAGGTGATGTTGAGGACATGTGATTGGTTGCCTTTGCAGTGCTGTACTCAGCAGTAGAAGAAAGATTTGGGGCTGACCCTCTGCATTACCAGCTGATGGCATGCCCAGCTCTTTGTACACCTGGAGGAAAACTACGTGCAGCTGGTGCTCAGAGTGACCTGCAGGGAATGYTGCTGTCTGGTGCAAGTGTTTAGCATTCTCCTCAGCTTCCAGATATCACTCCTTAATTTTTAGTGTCAAGTGGGAAAGAAAACCTGCAGACTTGCATTGCAATGGCCCTGGGGTTTCTCTTGACGTCTCCTGCTGTAAGGAAAGAGAAACCATGACGAAATACTTGCTGTGTCTGAGGAAAAAWGTTCCGTCAGCAATCTCCAAGATATGAAAATGTGATTATTTATGGGCATTCTGACATGGGGATCTAAGTAGCCAGGCAGTGACAGCAGAGCCTTCATGTTCAGTACTCATCATTTTCAGTGAGTCCCTTGAACTGCATGACRAAGTTGTTCAACCACACCTGAATCTGGGTTCTTGGGGGATGAAACCTGTTCCACAGCTTCTTTCCGTGTCACAAAGGCACAGATGATTTTAGCATTAGACAACAAATGTCACAGCGTTCTGAGTTAGGGAGTTAATATGTTCTTAGAATCACTTGATAAACCAGCAATACACATGGTATTGCTTATATTACCCATGCCTGTTTACRTCCTACAGGAATGGTGTTGCTTCCTTTACACTATCACACTTTGTGCTAGACTTTTGTATGTTTATCACAGATTTTGGGGACTTCAGACAATAGAACCGCTCCAGGTATTTTCAGGTTGCCTACAAGCTTCTGCAGGCTTGCATGAATATGTACCATTAATTCCTCATACTTCAGACCAGCCTGATGGATGATAGTGTTGAAAACAGAGATAAGTGAGACCTCTTCTGCATAGAATCATGGAATCATAGAATGTTTGGGTTGGAAGGAACATTAAAGATCATCTAGTTCAAACCCCCATGCTGTGAGCAGGGCCTGTTCCCACTAAACCACATTGCTCAGCACTCCATCCAACCTGGCCTTGAACACTTCCAGGGATGGGGCATCCACAACTTCTCTGCACAACCTGTTCCAGTGCCTCACCACCCTCACAGTACARAAATTCATCCTGATACCTCAGCTACACCTAGGTTAGATATCTCTTTCCATTTAAACTCATTCCCCTCTTGTCCTGTCACTACATGTCCTTGCAAGAAGYCTCTGTCTTTCTTGTAGGCTCCCTTCAGGTGCTGGAAGGCCACAGTTAGGTCACCCCAAAGCTTTTTTTTTTTTTTTTTTCCAGGCAGAACAAAACCCAAATCTCTTGGCCTTTCCTCATAGGAGAGGTATTCCATCCCTCCAAGCATCTCAATGGCCTCCTCTGGACTCACTCCAACAGGTCCATGTCCTTCCTGGACCCCAGAGCTGGATGCAGCACTGCAGGTGGGGTCTCACCAGAGCAGAGCAGAGCAGAGGRGCAGAGTCACGGGGCTCTGGCTGCAGCCCAGGACATTTTGGCTTTCTGGGCTGCAAGTGCACATTGCCAACTCMTGTCCAGCCTCCCATGCAGCAGCAACCCCAAGTCCTCCTTGGCAGGGCTGCTCTTGTTCTGCTCRTCCCTGACCTGGACTGAAACCAGGGGTTGCCCCAACTCAAGTGCAGCACCTTGCACTTGATCTTGTTAAACATCATGAGGTTCCCATGGGCCACTCCTCAAGCCTGGTCCCTCTGGATGGTATCCAGATCCCTCTGGGTGGCATCCTGTCCTTCAGGYGTGTCAACWGCACCAYCCARCTTGGTGCCATCTGCAAATGTGCTGAGGGTGCACTTGATATCTTTCTCTATGTCAATAATGAAGGTACTAAATAGCACTGTGCCAATATTGATCCCTGAGGGACATCCCCTGTCACTGATGTCYRTCAGGATTCTGAACCATTGACCAACACCCTGTGGATGTGACCATCTAACCAATTCCTTATCCACCTAACAGTCCAACCTTTGAATCCATCTCTAAAATTTAAWGAGAATGTTAYTGTAGGGGACCATGTCAAAGGCTTTACAGAAGATCAAATAARTACCTATCAGGCAATAAAATTGCACGGCCAAATTAAGGAGAGTATAACAACTTCTTAGTTTKAAGTTAACCCTACTTTTCATGGAAGATTTAACCAAATGACCTCCAGAGATCCCTTCYACCTCAAGCTATGATTCTAACAAAAGAAGGGCTTTTTTCAAGAGATACTGAAACTCTTTCCTCCCAGCTCTGAAGTCATTAGGGAAATTACTGGGACTCCTTGTACAGGTCAGAGATTAATGAAGGTCATGCTCTTTCTATCTGTGGACTTTGCAAATCGCATCAGTAYTTCATATACCAATGAGCTTACTATTTTTGGAACTGGTGAATTTTTATTAATCGCTGCATGTTTCAAATTTACCCCTGAATTACACATAGAAACACCCACCCTAAAATGCAGGTAGAAATGAAATAAAAATGCACAACTGGCTGGATGCCCCCTGCAGACCTGTGCTGACTTCACGGTCACTGATGGTTGAACAGTAGTTATTCTTGTTTAGCCCAGTGATGTGAAGGCAGGATTGAGCTCTATCCCTGGTTTCCCATCCCTGTTTGCTCTCCCTACAGAAAATGAATGAGGATGGGTTATTGTATGTACAGCAGGTGCCAGGCACGTTCTCTGGCACTTTTATTTCCTCTTCTTGGGGAATTCACAGACAAAGTAGATGGTGACTTGGCACTCAGAGTCGTTCCACTCTCCTGTGCTGAGCATTTCCACACAGTCCTCATGACCAGCTGGGTCRTGAGGCTCCCCTTGCTTCCAGTTACTGTAGTTCTGCAGTGGGCTGYTGTCTGCATACACAAACTGTCCTTCTCTTTCCATGTCATTCAGCCCAATGAAGGCTCGGAACAGGCCACTGTTGGAGATGTAGTCAGCAATCAGGGCATTGGTTGCCTCATCTTTAGGCATGGCCAGTGATCCTCCTCTGTCCTTGCAGTGGATCAAGGCTTCTCTGTAATTCTTCTCTTCTTTCACAATGTAATAGAATTTCTCATCTGTCTCCCTGATACCTGCTATAACTTTAAAGGAGAAGAAAAATTGCTTAATGGAATGTCAACAGATGCTGAATGTTATTAGATGTAATTAGATGATTTTTACATTAGACTTAATAAAAGGGAAGGAGGAAAAGTATTCCCACCACTGTATTTATGATGAATGACGAGGACATGATAAGAGATTTGATGGGGCTGATGGGACTGTCAAGCACCTTGCACACATTAGGACAAGAACTATTAAACCCTGATTGTCATGTCTCCTGTGTTGCTTTAGTTTGATTTCCTGGATATCTAGTATAATCACCTTAAATGGTCAAATGTTCAAATAGCAATGTCTAACTCTGGATCACCCCCATTACTTTGTATGTTTCTGAATATAGATTGTGAAAGAGTGCCCAGAGATAGAAACACAGGGGTACAGATAGCTTTTTAGGCCCTTTCCATGTAGAGGAAAAGGAATGTGACTGCTAACATAAGAGATTTTAAATACAGCCTGATATTCAGAACTGTTGTAGCACTGTGTGACATTGACAGGGAAGAAAATTGTGGTTGCTCAGCAGCTTTAAAGGGCAGACCTCTCAACCAGTGTATCGCCTAGTGAATCAAGCAGTGCCAAGCAGCATGCCTGGGTTGCTGGAAATTAATTGTCTCTGCTGATGGATTGCTGGAGTGGTCCTGAGTAGAATTTGGCCTGGGACAATTAACACCCTCCCAGACAATTCAGGAGTTACCCCAGACCCAGCTTAGAATTTAGTAGAAAGATACTCTTTGATAGTATGTCATTCAGTTTTGTAGTGTTTTYAATGTAGACAGGTGTTTTTCTGTGCTGGATGCCCACAGTGACAAAGAACAGTCTCAGATGCRTTTAATTTACTGATGCAGCCCTAGTCCTGGAGCAGTGGTAGAGCTATCTCAAAATCACCTTTACACCAGGAACCTCTCTCCCTTCCTTTCARTGGGGCAGTTGGGACTGTCCACCTGACAGTGCTGCCTGCAAACGTGGCCTCTTTTAACACATATCCTTGAGTGTTGGTCCCTTGTTACAGGAAAATGGTGCATGCACTGAGGGAGCACTAGGAGTACTGTGTCTGCAGCCTTCCTGTGCAGCAGAAAGGTCAAGAGGTTTTTATTGCATTCAATGCCTCTGTGGAGCAGATTGGCACAAACTTTTGCCTTATATTGCCTGGCTGGCCACTGAGGCTGAGAAGAATGACAGTGCAGAGGTGCTTAGCAAATCATTCCTTGTTCTTTACATGAYGCATTCTGTTGTGCTATTGATAATTTCTGTATTGTTTTTGCTTTTAGTAATCTGGTCTTTTTATTCTTACAGATGGAAGATTGTCTCTCCTTTGTGGGTTTTCAGAGTGCCTGGAACAGAGGACCCTCTCTCTTGGGTCATCTCTGGATGCTGCCATAGAGCAACAATGGTAGAAGAATAGTAATGATATCTGTTATTGGAGTCAAATAAATCACATCAAATGCACAGGGGTCCTTACCATTCTTAACAAACTTGATGGATGTGTTAAGACGAGCAACATTGATATTCAGTTGTCCGACAAATCTGCGGTATCTTCCACAGTCACAGACTGTGCCTGATGCAATACAAAGAATAGAGGATTAATCTGTTTAGAAGCATTTGAATGTGTGTGCATGGAGAGTCACCTGTAGCCCACTTCCAAAGCTCCTGCAGATCTGGGCTCCACTTATGGAGAGCCAGTCTCACCATACCCCACTGGCTATATTCTGCTGATCAAAGTGTTTAAGGTTTTGGTTCTGTACACTCCCTTGCTAACTGGCTTAAGCAAGTTAATACCAACCCAAATAATCAATAGCTTTCAAGCACTGAAGTCTCAGTTTTTTGTTTGGGGCACTTTTTTTTTCCTCTTTTCTTTTGGTAAACTGGAATTTGGCTTGGTAGAGGTTTTGTTTGTTCTTCTGTTCTTCTCAGAAAGAAAATAAGCTGCTGATGGTTTCCCGTTAGAAACCAAATGGTCATTTTATATGAAATATCTTTAAAATAAACACAAGTTTAAGTTCAAGTTGGGTAACTGTTCAAGATTACAAGGGCTGAGAARAACTTTCTAGTTCATCAAATTCTCCTCCTGTAAGCAAATGCATTGCATCAATTTGACAAGAGATTATGTTCTTAAATCACTTTTTTCATCCCCATGCTCCTATTAGGAAACTGTTAAAGGGCTTAATTCCTTTGGTATTAAGACACTTTCTTCTAGTATCCAGTATWAATCCTGTTTTCAGTATAAAAACATACTGCTGGCCTTTGTGTTAGTTTTTATGACATCAAACATTGCCTATGAATTTGTGTGACTTTATATTTTATGTATGCTAGTGTATTCACAGATATAAGTAATCTCCCTACATTGTCCTTCATTTTGCTCAACAAAAAATTTTCAGTCTCTTCCTTATATTTCATCTATTCTCATGTTTTTTCCTAGGCCTCAAAATTTAATGAAACTCCAGGGAAACCAACCCTGAAATCAAAGATCCAGCAGACTTGATCATTTTGCACAGAAAGATGCATAGCATACCTGCTTTTCCTTTTTTTCCTGAAACCCCTGGTAAGCCTTTGGCTCCTTTGTCACCTGAATAAAGAAGAAATTTTATTCTCARATCTCAGACAGCACACATGTCAGGRAAGCATATTCAAAAACATGTTTAATAATATATTAACAGTGTGCTTTTGATAGGAAGCCCTGATGGACTGTACTGGAAGAYGTGCCAAGTTAAACAAACCAGGATTAATTCTGGTGCATGGAAATGAGAGCCCTTTAATAACTAACTCACTGATAACACAGGCATCTTGTGTGCTGCCSGTTCCTGGTACCACTTACTTTAAATATAAGCTGCAAAATTATACTCAGAGGCTGAAAGCACCCAAGAAATGTTGAAAAGGTGAGATCTGGATACTCTCATGGGCTGCAGGGCAGAGCCCTTCCCCAGGTCCAGTAGCTCTGTGGTGGGACAAAGCACCAGATGTGATCTACGCCCCTGAATTCGTGTGTGCAAGGGAAGGTGTGTGCGGGCAGCAGTTGGCACCTGCACGGATGGAGGTCACTAAGGAGCAGCATTCCATTTCAGTTGATGGAAATGTGATTTATTTTCATCCAACTGCTTTCTTCTTCTTTTGTAAATTATAAAAAATAATAGAAATACTTCTCTAAATGCTCTGCTAATATAAAACTGGAGGTGACTAGCTCTTTAAAAAATCTCAGCTGTAATTTGTGTCAGGAACAGCTGGACTTTATCTGAAATTCATTTCAGCTCTTCTTTTATGAATTAAATCTTTAGAGATACAAAAAATACTAATACTTGCTCTGCTTTATTGATGGCCATGTTTTGATGTACATTTTACTTTATATGGTTGTGGTTTTTTAAAGAATTTAGATGTTGGCTGTCATTTTAATTAGCAGTACTTGACACTGCATGCTTGCAAGCTGGAATTTAATGGTTGCTTCATTAAGAACTCGAATGTTTAATCATAGATTTAAACAGTGATTTAATGACCTTTGCTTCTGCAAATAAAGAAAATGAGAAAAAAAAAACTGTAAGGGGACAATAAATTGTGCATTCAGACTAAAAGAGAGCTTGATTAAAAGGCTCCGARTTGGTCTGTTTTCAGATAAAGAAAAGCAATTTGTGAGATTCTTAATTTTTGTCTCTTTTGGGGATTGAAGGCATCTTAGGGGATAGCTAAGGGTTTTCAATTGTGTAGGTATTTCTGAAAATCCCTCAGGCCAAATTCTTTTCTTCTTGCCTGATACTGAGGCTCGCTAGAGGCCATRGAAAGTTTATTAAAACACTGTTTTGAGAAGGTCCTGGAGGGAGCTGTTCCACCCACTCAGCAGCATACCCAGGTTGATGTGCTGGTTAGAGACCACAGAGCTYCCCTGGAATGGTGGTGTCCCTGACCACCTTTCAATGCAGGTCTTCTTGTGGCAGAAGTAATATTCCTTCCTAAGCAGGTCTTTAGGAATACCAGAAAGGAATGCCTGAGCTACTTCTCCAGATAAATAGAGCACAATTTCATCAAAATATTGTCCAGGCAGATTTGGAGTCTACCTTGATTTGCAGGTAGTTGCCATCCCTGCTTATGGGAGCGCCTTCTTTAAACTCCTAAATTCCTTCCTTACCAGATGTCCTGTGCATTGCTTGCTCACGTGATCCACAGCAGTGCAGGTGACAAGGTGTGGCATCCTCAGCAGCAGCAGGACATTGACTTAGGCCTTCAGCGTCCAAATCAAAGGCACAAATTTGTCTTCCAGAATGTTCAGTGGATTTACTTCACARGAACTGGATTTCTCTTTTACCACAGAATCATAGAATAGTTTGGGGTRGAAGGGAYCTTTAAAGGTTATCTAGTCYACYCCCCCTGAAATGAGCAGAAATACCTTCCACTTGATCCATCAAAGAGAATTGATGTCTTAACTCATAAAAGAAAMTATTTTAGCCAAATAGGTTGGATATATTGCATGTGGAAAATAAAACTAGGATATCTCAGACAGCTCTCATCACCAACCTTTATGCATAACTTTATTTGGAGAGCCTTGGTCATCTATTATCTAATATTACTCTGTATCTGGAACTCTCACAAAGCACCTATGTACCTTGAGGGGRAAAAAACCAAGAAAATTCCCAGACCCCAGCTTACCCTTTCCACCAATTGGACCAATTTTACCAAGCATTCCTTGGTCACCAACATCACCCACTGGTCCTTTGTTTCCTAAGAGAAGAAACAAAGAGGAAATGAGTAGGAGTGGTTGCTGTGATTTCTTTTCTGAGGCACTGTTTAGGTCCCTACTGCTGTCATTTTTCCTGAGTGTAGCCAGTGTGCACGTGTGGCAAAGTGAGCACAGCTCTGAGGATATTTGAGGAGTACAGCCCAGATCTCTGCTACTGTAGGGTATGACAGTAGGACATTGCAAGGAACCTTAACAGAACTGCCTGTGGAAATGCCCAGAAACTTCATTTTTTTTCTTACATAAAACAGAAACTAAAATGTTAGTGATTTATTGCACAGTCAAACTAGGCTGACAGTTTTAATTTTTCTCCACCCCAGGCAAAACCCAGGCTGTCTTTCTTCCTTGGAGATAAAATCCTTGCTGGGAGTCCTTCTCAAATGAGGACTGCAAGTCGGGAGCTGCTAATTTTGCTGTATGTGTTCTCCCAGTCTTCAGAGGACCAAAATAACAGATGTCCTTTTTAACTGATTAATAAATAGTTTAAGTTCTCACATAGATGTCTAATGATGACACGCCAATGTAAGGAATGTCAGTTTGCAAAGTTAGTTTAACATCAATAAGATGCTTTGTAAATGGTGGATTCCCTGAATTCCTTACCTGATGTTAATTTTATGGTAAGAAGTGAGATAATAAGAATGCATTTAAAAATGGAAAAAGTTTTTTTATTATGACAATAATAACAGAGTGATTTTAAAGTTTCTGTGAAAGTAAAGATTTTCCTGATTAATCTTGAACCACAGTCAAGGAAGAAAGACCTGGGATATGCATTATCATAAAACTCTAAAGATAAATTAAGCTTTTGAATTAGAGGATGCAAACAAGGCTGACACACTCACATCTGGTGCCTCCAAATGATCTGCCCAGGTCACACTGTGGATATGGGATATCTTTAATTGAGCCAAGTGTCCTGAAACATCTGTGGCTCCTTGTTCTCAGCTTGGATTCTGTTTGATCAATGGAACTTTTTTTTTGTATATGACTTTGTTTGCTTTTCTGCAGAATAGAGACAACTGAAACCAAATTTTATTGAGCACCCTGTTGTATTCTATGCAGCAGCTCTCAATTCAGTTTCAGCTAMAGGCTAATTTCAGTAAGAGTAATCTTTCTGATCATATATATGATCTGAGTCTTCTGAATCACACTCGTGACAGCCACATGTTTGTCTTGAGTATCAGTAGGAATTGCAACAAGCTCTCTAAGTATTGTTATGTTCACCAATTAATGTTTGACAGGATTGTGAAATCCACKGGTGCAACAGGAATGGAAAGCATTAAACATCACCAATCATATGCCTCAGTACAGATCTATATAACAACATTCACATACCAGTAATGCCAAAAAAAATCATAAATACCTTTTGGTCCTTTTGGTCCAACYTTTCCTTGTTTGCCCACTTCTCCTCTGTCTCCCTTTTCACCTTCATCTCCTTCCAAAGAACAAAAAATAAAACATCATGGTACATTTCTCTTAGTGCAATAGGTACAACCATACACACTCAGAAAGCAAAGTTTATAGGGTTTTTTTTTTTCCTACTGATTTATTTTTTATTTCACATGCGATGCACAGTAACGATGGGATACATTTGCAGGGAAGAGATGAGGAATCTGAGCATCATTAGRAAAAGTTAAAAACTTTGCCTTTCAGAGAGGCTCTTACAACATGAGAATTATATAACACCAATTTCTACTCCTACACTTCAAGCATTAAAAGCTATAAAGCAGATAAAGAAGCCAATCTTTCAGTACTGGGAAACCTGTGCACACRGGGGCAAAGTGCCAGGGGAGGCAACAATTAGTGTTTACTAATTATTCCTAGTGATTCCATTCCTAATGGCTCTGTGTTCAGGGTATGCAGATGCTTTTGGAATGAGAGGAATGTAAATATGTTGAAATAGATCTTGACATAGACCTTGGCASTTAATATGACACAATTCTTGCCTTCAGTTTTTGACAGATGGCATTTGTATGTTGATACAAGAAACTTGTTTTGCAATTACTCCAATGCTTTATTTTGAAAAAGTCATACACAGAGCATTTGCAAGAGGCAAAATCATTGCATTTATTATAGTAGTGCAGAGCTTTCTTA